AGTTGCTGAATTACATTGGTAGGAGTAGTTTGAACACTAGGGATATCACCACATTGGTTACATCATAAGTCTGAACCCAAAACAAATATTTTTCTCTAACATCTTAACCCTTAACTTATGAACCATGACATTAGAAGAATTAGGGATCATCCCAGCTACAGCTGAGATAATCAGCAGAGGACAGGGACTAGAATTAAGGAGGGAATAAATAGGAAAGCATTCCTGGAGAAGATGGGATTTTTGCTGGTACTTGAAAGAAGCTAGGAGGTAGAGATGTGGAGGGAGACCATTCTAGGCTTGGAAGACAGAGAGAACACCCAGAGGGAAGAGATAGAGAGTGTCTAGTCTGAAGAACAGCAATCAGGCCAGTGTGGCTAAATTGAAGAATATATGGTAGGGATAAAGGCATAAGAATTCTGGAGATATGGAGTGGGGGCAGATATGTAGGATGTTGAACACCAAACAGATGATTTGGCATATGACCCTAGAGGTGGCAAGGAACCACTGGAGTTTATTGAGTAAGGGAGTGGTATGATCAGACCTATGCTTTAAGAAAATCACTTTGGTGACTGAATGGAGGATGGATTGGAGTGGGAAGAGACTTGAGGAAGGTAGACCCACCAGCTTTTTTTATTTTTTCAGTCGTGTCCAACTCTCGTGACCCCATTTGGGGTTTTCTTGGCAAAGATACTGCAGTGGTTTGCCATTTTCTCCTCCAGCTCATTTTACAGATGGGGAAACTGATGCAAACAGGTTAAGTGACTTGTCCAGAGTCATACAGCTACTAAATGTCTGAAGCCAGATTTGAACTCACAAAGATGAGTCTTCCTGACTCTAGGCCTGGCACTCTATCCACTGCACCGCCTAGAAGGCTATTGCAGTAATACAAACAGGAGGTGATAAACACCTGCACTAGACAAGTGGTAGTGTCAGAGGGGAGATGAGGCATATTTGAGAGATATTGCAAAAGTTAAATTGACAGGCCTTAGCAATAGATTGGAATATGGGTATGGAGGGGGTAGGTATAGGTATGGATGTGTGAGACATTGAGGAGTAAAGGATGATACTTAAGTTCTAAGTCTGAGGGACTAGAAAAGGAAGGGAGGAAGAAGGGAGGGAAGGAAGGAAGAAGAAAGAAGAAAGGAAGGAAGAAGGACAGAAGGAAAGAAGGAAGAGAGATCTGTAACAGATCTGATTAATGATGAACCCTAAGACTTCTATATCATATACTTCTGTATATACCTCTGTGCCAGATGTCATCTCTTTTGTTAACACCTTTTCTGTTTCCTCTCTTTATCCAGGTTATCTGAAGTTTATTCTAATGACCATATTGCTTCTGTTTCTGATAGAGCACTAGACCTGGAATCTGAAAGAAATGACGTCAAATTTAGCCTCAGACACTTACTGGTTATGTGATCATGGGCAAGTCAATTAACCCACTTCAGTTTCCTCAACTGCACTTACCTTCAGGGTTGTTATGAGGATCAAATGAGATAATATTTATAATGTGCTTAGCAAAGTGCCTGGCACATAGTAGATGCTATATAAATGCTAGTTTTTATGGTTATCATTACTAATCTTCACCCAAATGCTCCCCACCATGTTTCCTCCATCTTTGGTTAAGGTATTTCTTATTAATACAGGGAAGCTCAAAGCTTGGGACCTTTGCTGCTGGCCACACTTTCATCTGAAGGGCAGGAAGAAAGAACAAAGGATATGAGGTTGAAGGTTCTAGCCTCTTTATTTTTACTTCCCTTCTCTGTTTTCCTTTATTTGCGTAGCAGACCCAAAGGATTTGGGGGTCTAAGGAAAATTATGGTACCTCGGATCCACACAGCTCCTGTGAAAAATTCTTTAGTAGATCCCCTGAAATAAGTTCTGGGGTCACAGGATCCCCATAATTTTAACCCTAAATAAGATTCTTGGACCAACAGTTCTTGACCTGAGATCTACGAACTTTTTTTTAAAAATATTTTTATAACTGTATTTCCATATTATTGGTTTCCTTTATAATCCTATGTGTTTTATTTTATGCATTTAAAAAACATTATTCTGAGAAGGAATCTATAGACTTCACTGGAATGCCAAAAGGGTCCTGCACACACAAAAAAAGGTTATGAATCCTATCTTGTATAATGGATTGGGATTCAGCCCCAGTCAATAGGAAATTAAAAGAAAAATAATGTTTGTTTGGGGCCAACTCTGTCTGGCTTTTTTTCAAGGTCCTTAACGGAATGTAGTGGCTCCTAGCCTTGGTTGGCTATGGACTAAAAGAGCAGGTAGCCTGTCATTACCAGGAAGAGGCTTTTAGTCATTGGACCAAACTTAGAGGTGAAATTGCCAATGGGTAAGATTGAAAAAAATGAAAACCAAAAACTTGTAGTAGAGGTAAACTCTTTGACCACATACCCAGAAGATATATGCAGCAAGGACCACACAACTAGCATAGAAATGCCCAGAAGAGACCATAATCAAGCGGCAATCATGACACCATCAGAGTGATGTCCAAAAGAAAAAAGAGAAAGCAATACGATGACCTTACTAGAGGACAGCAGTAGCCTTGTATTGTAAGGGTGAGTTAAACTGGACATATATAAATCCACCCACATATGTTCCCTTACAAGTATGTTCCCCTATATGTAAGATCTATGTATATCCATTTTTCCTATTGATAGTGAGTATCTTTGAGGGAGAATGTACTCCAATTTTAGTAAAGGATAGTTTCATGCCTCCTTTTCTTATGTTATTTTATTAAATATTTTTGCTTTGAGCAAAATGTGCCCTATTAGCTGTAGCTCATGGAGTGGTTGCTTTTAGTGGTTGCTACCCCATGAAAGTACCTGAAGCCAGGATAGATTGGACAATGATATTTGTGAGCAAATGTACCCTTTAATGATAAATTAATATCCAGTATTTCTCTAGCCCTCCCCCTTTTACCTATCATGCTTCTTTTGGATAAGGTTTATTCTTTCATAGCTTTATTCCAGTTATATATCTCATTCCACTAACTGTTGGTGATGTTTATTAGGTCAAAATGACACTTTGGGGATGACCATCAATTGGGGAATGGCTGAACAAGTTGTAGTATATGATTGTAATGGATGTTATTGTGCTATAAGAACGATGATCAGGATGATTTTAGAAAAACCTAGAAAGACTTATATGAACTGATGCAGAATGAAGTGAGCAGAACCAAGAGAACATTGTACATAGTAATAGAAATATTATATGATGACCAGCTATGAATGACTTTGCTATTTTCAGCAATACAATGATTCAAGACAATCCCAAAGGACTCATGATGAAAAATGCTATCTGCTTCCCAAAAAAGAACTGATGGCATCCGAATAAAGACTAAAGCACACTATTTTTCTCTTTCTTTCTTTTTTCTTTCTTTCTACCTTCCTTCTTTTCTCTTTCTTTCTTTCTTTCTTTTCTTTCTTTCTTTCTTTCTTTCTTTCTTTCTTTCTTTCTTTCTTTCTTTCTTTCTTTCTTTCTTTCTTTCTTTCTCTTTTGTTAGAGTTTTCTTCCACAAGATTATTGTGAGGAAAGTTGAGACTATTTCAAGCATCCTAGAAGGATGATCTCTATTTGCAGAAATGAAGAGAGGCAGTGGAATAGAGTGGAATACAAACTAGATTTAGAGTCAGGACACTTGGGTTTTAATCCCAACCCAGACATTTGCTAGCCATAGGACCTTGGGATATTAACTTCTTCTCTCTGGAGCCCAATATTCTCCTTGTAAAAAGATGAACTTGGACCAGGGGTGGGAAACCAGCAGCACTGAGGCCACATGTGGCCTGGATTCCCCACCCTTGACTTGGACTAAAATGATCTCCAATCTCCTTTCTAGTCCTGTAACTTGTGATATGAGAAGCATGCCCTGTTCTGAAATGGAGAACTTTGGCAATCAGTGTGCTCCCACTAGCTCCAAATTCACTGAATATTTCAAACTCCAAAATGAAATTTTCTGACAACTTGCTAGAGATGAGCCAATAAGTTGAACAAAAAATTGTTTACCGTATAAGAACATGCTAGAAGGTAAGCGTAGCTGAAAGTATGTATCACTGCATTATCCGGGAAACAAACACACAAATACATACACACATAGATACAACGCACATATACATGTGTACTTATGTGTACATAAGGTACATATATACCTTTTCTATACCACTGCCAACTCAGTCTTCCTAATGAATAGGCCTAATCACACTTCTCTTTCACAAAAACCTCCATTATTTCCCATAGCTTACCAAATAAATTTCAAACTGCTTATTCTAGAATTCATGACCCTCCTTAACTTTGCTCCAATATAGCTTCTCATTCTTATCTTGCTACTCCTCTCATTCAAATGTCCTCTACTCCAACCGACTGGGTATAGTTATAGTCCCTTGAATACAGCCTGCACTATCTAGCACCCATAACTTTTGTTCAAAGTATTTCTTGTGATAGGAATGCCCTCTCTCCCTCAAGTCTGCCAGTTGAGATACCATTTTTCCTCCAAGGCCCAGCTCAAATATCACCTTGTCTATGTCGTCTTCCTTGATCTCTGCTAGCTAGATGTAATCCATCTCTCCTGTGAACTTTCATAGTCTGTTTCATACTCCTTTTATTAATTTTTTGTATATATTTCTTCTATTCAGTCTACAATTCGAATATAAATGCGTCAAGGGAAGAGACTTGTATGTCTTTGCGTTCTCCTTGTCCCCTCAGGAAGTGACTTGCACATAGTGGAAACTCAATCAATAAATATCTGTCTAACTGGAATGAAACACATTTGGACAACAATTACATCATGATTAAATATATTTGAGCGAGATACATCATGCTGCCATATCTCTCTGGACTCTTAAAGCATGATTTGGGCCCCAAAAGCACCTGAAAAAGGAGAAAGGCAAAGAGATCAAGTGCCCATTGTCAGAGTGGAACTTTGTCTCCCTCTTCATCCTGAACCTACTGGAAGTGTGGTGATGTCATAGTTGTTGGCCTCTCTGTCATTCCAGCTGTAAACAGGGGAGTGGGGGGAGGAGGTCATCAGGGAGGAGATTTCTTTGAAATGCCTTTTCAACTGAAGACTCCTTTGCAGTAAGATGTGCAGTATGAGCTCAGGTTAACTTGAAAGGTGGGAAGATGACTGCATTAATAGGCAGTGGAAGTGGGCTCTTTGGGCCCCAGTGGCCCTTTGATGACATCCCAAAGGCCGTAACCAGGTAAGAAAGGCTTGTGAGAAAGCAAAGACTGTTGAAATGGAAAGGTCCTTAGTGTGTTTGAAGGATTAGATTTTCTATTACCTTAAGCCTTAGACACTTCTCAGGCATATGTTGTTTTCACCCAGCAGAAGTTTTTGGGGCAGGGACTCCCATTTTTGTCCTCATCTCCAAGCACTGAGCACATCAGCTGACATATGGCAGGTGCTCAATGAACGCTTGTTGAATTGAAGTGAATTGAATTTCTCTTTAAGTTCAAGTTATCTATCCCAATGAGGAAATAATTGACTTGAGTTGAAAAAAGAAACACTTTTTTTTGTTTTTTTATTATTAGTTACTTAAAACACACAGAGTCTGTATCTATACCAAAAGAAACTAATTTCACCTCACTATACATGCCAGCAAATTGGTCTTTCTTGTCCTGTACATCTTCTCTGTCTTCCTTAATACTGTCAAATCTTCACTTTCCAATCACCTAATTGCTCTCAATTTTCTCATGGTATATAACATCTCTGCGACAGCTAGGTGGCGCCATAGTGCACCGAGAGCCAGGCTGGAATCAGGAAGACTTCCTGAGATCAAATCTGGCTTCAGGTACTTAGTAGCTGTGTGATTGGACAAGTCATTTAACCCTGCTGGCAATCAGTGTGCTCATCTGTAGAAAGATGGAGAAGGAAATGGCAAACCACTCCAGCATCTTTTCTTTTCTTTTTTTTTTTTGTTTTGTTTTTCCAGAGTCTTTTTCAAGAAAATTCCAAATGGGTCAGACACAACTAAGACAACTGAACAACAACAATAATAATATAACATCTCTAAATGGATCATGTGTCAATTTCTGACCCCTGGGAGAACATCTGACCATGGCTTTCAAGTATCTTTCACCAGCTAACCCCATCCTATTTGTATGTTCTGATATTCAATCCTTCCCCATTTCTTTTCCTACCTAACCCTGCCACATTTTCTTAATCACATTAACCTCATTGCTGCCTTTTATACTTTAGTCTCCCCTTTCCATCTCTGAGTTTGAACCAGACTGCCCAAAGGGCACAGAACAGGATCTTTCATCCTCTTAAGGAATGAGTTCACTCCTGTCCTTTAAATCACAGTGAAAGTTTTCCAACAGTAACACCAAGCAGTCTTCAGTCATCAGTACAATTCTTAACTCTCTCTCCCCTGGGATGTTCTTGCAATTAGTGTATTTATATATGGTTAGGCTGATTGCATGTTTGTCATGTAAGCTTCCTGGAGAGTTGGGGCTGTGTCTAATTTTTGCTATATATCTCAAAGTACCTAAGGCTCCCTTCACCCTGTGAATATTTACTGACTGGCTTAACTGAGTCGTTGAGATCAAAGGAATGGGGAAATTAAAGGAGCTCAATACTAAGGCTACAAATTAATTAAAGCTTAATTTCACTGTAAAGTACTAAAGGACAGGAACTATGCCTGTTTTAACTTACTTGGATTTTGTGCCTAATATTCATTCATATGGATATTTTTTTAAAAATTATTTCATTATGAAAACATAAAAATGTCCCATAAAAAGAAAAAAATTTACCCACTCTTTCTGCCAGTTACATTTCAGAGATGCCATTCTTCTCTCCCAAATATCAACCTACACAAACACATATAATCTCTCTCTCTCTTTCTCTCTCTCTCCTCTTCCTTCCCACCCCTCACTGTCTCTGTCTGTCTCAGTCTCTCTTCCTCTCCTTCCCTCCCTCACCTCAGCTAGTTTTGTTCATTCCCAAAAGAAAAATGGGTGTCACTGTCCAAATGTTCCTTTAAGTTCTTCTTAAACTGTGATGCCCAGAATGTAACACAATAAGACTTCAGATGAAGTCTGATAAGAGTAGAGTACATTAAATTTATCATCTTTCTATTCCTGGTTTCTCCTATATAGCCTGAGATCAAATTAGCTTTTTTTTTCTTTTTGTTTTTTTGGTCTACCACAACACATAGCTGACTCAGAGCTTGTAGCTCACTAGAACCCTTGGATATTTGTTGTTTGTTTTCATATTAATTGTTGTCTACAAGACTTTCCTCATCTTATACTTTTTGTCTTTTTTACCAATCTGATGGATTGGAGATAGAATCTCAGAATTACTTTAACTTAATTTTTTTTTTTAGTGATTTCAGGAATTTTATGCATGTAGCCATTGATAGTTTAGATTTCTTCTTTTGACAACTGTCTGGTTATAACTTTTGACCATTTATTTATTGGGAAATGGTTCTTGTTCTTATGAATTTGAATCAATTCCTTAAATACCTTGAATATGAAACCTCTATCAGGAAAACTTGCTTCAAAGATTTGTCCTGACTTAACTGTTTTCATTCTAATTCTAGCTGTATGGGTTTTGTTGTGCAAAAAGTTTTAAATTTTTTATAATCAAAATTGTCCACTTTTCTCTTGAGATCTTCTTTATCCCTTGTTTGGTCACGATCTCTCTCCCCACCCATAGATCTAACAGAAAATTTCTTCCTGGCTCCTCTTAATTTGTTTATAATGTTAACCTTATGTCTGAGTCATGTATTCATTTGAAAGCTTATCTTGGTTACATGGTGTAAGATGTTGGTCAATGTCTGATTTTTGCCAAACAGTTCAGATTTTCCCAGCAGTTTCTTGTTTCTTTTTTCAAATGGTGAATCCTTTCCCCAGTATCTGGTCCTTGGGTTTATCAAACTCTATGATACTGTGTTCATTCGCTTCCATATGTTCTGTGCCTAATTGGTTCCACCAATCAATCAATATTTATTAAGTGCCTACTTTGTGTCTCCTAGTTTTTAAACCATTACCAAATAATGTTGGTGATTACTGATTTGTGGTTTAATTCCATTTTGAAGAAAGAGGAAAAGTTTTCCTTTGGAATTGTATGTATTTTGTTTAATATAATTTTAATGCTAGACTCTCTTTCTTCCCCATTACTTCCTTTGAGATTCTTGCTTTTATTCCTCCAGGTGAATTATTACTGTTTTTCTAGGTTTATAAACACACACATAGTTGTATCACAGGTTTTTATTCTTTTTTATAATCTTCCTTACAATCTTCACTTCATGCTCCTTCCTCTGATGTTGGAGTTGTTTTTTGTTTTCGGGAATTTTTTTTGCTTATAAATACTCCCTCACCTATCCCACCTTCTCTCTCTTAACCGCCCCCTCTGCAATTCCTATCTCTACCTATTTCTCCACTGACTTTAATGCATTTCTGTGCAATACTCTTTGCATATATGTGTGTGTAAATATATTCAACTTTCCTTTGTCCAGTTCACATGAAAATGAAGTTTATGGGAAGCCCTTCTACCCCACCCCCATTTCCTCCATGTTTAGGTACTGCTCAGATCACGCACATGTATTTAAGTGGACTTCTCTCTCTCCTTTTTTTGCTACTGTGTTTGAACTTCAAATTTTCTATGCAGCTCTGGTCTGTTTCTCAAGAACGCTTAGAAGTTCTCTATTTTATTAAAGGTCCACTCCTCTACCTCACCCCCTCTGTGGCTCACCCTAGAATTATACTCACTTTTGCTGAGTAAGTTATACTTGCCTGTAAGCTTATTTCATTTAGCTTTTGGAATATCATTGATATTTCAAGCTCTCTTTTTTTTTTTTAAGTTTGATAACTTTTCAGTAGTGTCCAACTCTTCGGGACCCCATTTTGGGTTTTCTTTGCAAAGATACTAGAGTGGTTTACCATTTCCTTCTTCAGATGAGGAAACTGAGGCAAACAGGGTTAAATGACTTGCTGAGGATGCCACAGCTAGTAAGTATCTGAAACCAGATTTGAACTCAGTCTTCCTGACTCCGAGCTGGGCACTCTATCTACAATGCCACTTAGCTGCTAAATCATCTGTGATCCTGACTGCAGCTCTCTAGTACTTAAATTCTTTATTTCTGGCTACTTGCAATATTCTTTCTTTTAACTAGAAGCTCTGGATTTTGGCTACAATGTTCCTTAGAGTTTTCATTCTGAAAAAAAAAATTTCATTCCCATAGGTTACCAGTGGATTATTCCTATTTCCTCTTTGTCTTCTGGTTCTAAGAGATATAGGCAGTTTTCTTCTTAGGTATATGATATCCTTTAAGGAAATATGATTAGGTTCTTTCTTTTGGTCATGAATTTCCAGGTATTCCAATGATTCTTAGATGTTTTCTCCTCAATCTATTTTCCATGTTAGTTGTTTTTGTTATGAGATACCTAATGTATTCTTTTATCTTTTTAGGTTTTTTTCTTTGTTTTAATATTTTTGTCTCATGGAATCATTAGCTTCTATTTGGTCCATTCTAATTTTGAGGGAGTTTGTTACTTGAGCAAAGTTTTGTTCCTCATGCCAATCTGTTAATTCTCTTTCCATTTCTTTCTTCCATAACTCTCATATCTTTTCCAAACTTTTCCTCTAGCACTCTCATCTCATTAATTAAAAATGTGTTTAACTCTTCTTTAAATTCTTGCTTCATTTCTTAATTCCTCTTGGACATTACTCCCCTTTTCCACTCTCAAGCAGTAAGTCAACTTTTAGTAAGCACCTATATTATGTGCCAGGCATTGTGCTAAGACTGGAGATACAAATAGGAAAGAAGAAATACAGTCCATGCCCTTGGGAGCTTACAACAAACACATAGAAAAGCTAAGAGGGAGACAGAGGAAGAGAAGGAAGACACCCAAGTTTCCTTGGAGAAGGGAGTAATGGGACATGATGATAAAAGTCCATAGTAGTACAGCCAGAAGGGAAATGAAGAGATGGCTAGCTTGGGGGCCTTCCTTAAATGGAGGTTCTCTACCCTCCATTCAGAGGAGTCCCAAGGGTACAGTACTGATGAGGTATGAGTGTACTAAGGCTGATTTAGTCTTACAGGTCACTATGTATGTTATGAGGAAATCCATTTGTGATGATGATGATATAGAATTTATATGTAGTGCTTTAAAGTTTACAAAGTGCTTTCTAAATCATTACTTTATTTTACTACTACAACAACTATCTTAGAGGTAGGTACCATTATTATCTCTATTT